GTAGGGCATTTTCCAACCAGAGACGCGAATAAGAACGAGGTCGGACCGTGAATGCCAACGTGTGGCTAAATATCTAAACGGGACAGGGTGGACAGAACCGGGCTTTGAACTCGGGCGAGATGGTACGACGTGACGACCCAGATATATAGTTTACCGGGTGTGGATATCCTGAGTAGTAAACGCAGCGCGCGTGGACATACGGATTGAGACCTACCAGGAGGTGATGAACACGCGATCCTACGTCGTAAACAAAAAATTAATTACATATTTCGGTAAAATCCCTTTCGAAGGTGTGAGCATGTATACACGGTCTAAAACGAAGTCAACACACTGGATTAAATGTTGGAGCTCTAGGTCACGGGCCTACTGTCCAAAGTCCAAGGACGACAGCGCTTGCTCCGACCGTTTTTCCTTCTAGAGGAATTAATAATACCAGGAAACGCAGAAACCTTACTGTGAAGTTAGTGCGGAGTTATGACATTGATCCGTGAACAGAGATATCGACTAAAATAACTCATACAGTCTTTCAGGATGTGGTCGACAAGACCGTCATTATTCATTCACGGAAAGAGTGACATGGATTACACGTGTGACATCATTGACGAAAAAAGTACAATACAAGAACATAAAAACAAAGCATACAACATACACATGCACGACGGAAGACCGGTACCAGTATACATTACTCTAAAATAGAGTACAAAATAGACAATATCACAATTATTTTTTACTTTTAAATGCAACAGACGGATACACTCGACCAGTCACTAACATTTACTACTACCATAGAGCTAACAAAAAATGGTATTAGACCCAGATTTATATTCCAAATTGATGTTTTTTATGTTTATTTGAGAACTGTGAGTTTACTAAGGCATAACAAGAGTCGGGACATCAGGGGGTACCTGATATCATGTCTAAGCGACAAGTAGGCCTATATTCTAGGGACCTCCCTTCTAATGCGTTTACATTCGGACTAGTGAAGAAGAAGAAGACGAACAAACAGAATGACCTGCCGGCGGTTTGTGAAGTGCCCGCAGATGACGTGGTTTCAGGGTGGCACGCCTTTAGGGCTCAAACCCTGACCGAAGGTCATTCTTCGTACACCTTCAGGGTCGTCAAGATGACTTCGGAAGGGGTTGAATGAAGCGCATGATTAGTGCGTCTTGCGGCTGTCGACAGGAGTTGGCGCGAGGTGGCAAGGGTACAATTAAAAAAACAACGTATCAATCAGAGAGCAGGCAACCCACCGACCCCGATACGATTACGATTATTACGACTACTCCATTTTCACTAAGCACGGAACCAACGTTAAGCCGGGGTTTACAGTATTCCCACCTCTCTTCGCACCCACGCAGCCACCGCGGTCGCACGCGCGCTGGATTTTTACTACCACTTCGACAGGAATAAGCCAGAGACCAACCTTTTACGGGATGAAGTTGAAAAACAACATTTAAGTCTGTAAAGGAAGCCAAGAGTGAATTTTAATTTCTTTGTTAGATCTTCGATATGGTGTTTGAAGTTCAGATTACTGTCCAACCAAAAGCCAAGATATTTGTAGGTATCTACAAACTCAACAGAGACGCCATCAAGGGTGTCAATGGAGAGGCAAGAGGACGCTGACTTGGGAGCAAAAAGCATTGCTTTGGTTTTCTTACTGTTCAAAAGCAGTTTGGAATCAAGAAGTGCATGCTGCAGCGTGATAAAATCAGATTTTAAATTGGAAACGGCCATATCCAGAGAAGGAGCACATGAATATACAATAGTGTCATCAGCATACATATGATAGGTAGAAAAATGCATCTGATTACAAATATTGTTTACATATAATAAAAAGAGCAAAGGCCCCAAAATAGAGCCCTGTGGAACTCCCTTCTCCAAGGTGACAGGGTCAGAGACAGTGCTACCCAACCTGACGCATTGAGTACGGTCGGTTAGATAACTCTGAAACCAGCAAATGGCATTATGACCGAAACGAGACACCAACATAACATTAGACATATATAGATAGATACATTATAGAAATGGATCAGGACAAAAAGAGAGAGAACCTTTTTTCCTGAAACTTTCAGAGTCTCTTTACACAGAGGGGACACATGTTGATGTATACAAGACATGAAGAAGTGGATTTTGCATAATAGGTGACCTTTAAACACCAGTGCACACATGCTGCTCTACAGATATATTCTGGTCTTCCCTCTTTAAAACGAACAGATGTAGATGTAGGTAGCTTCAAACACTTATGGAATGCGTTGTTTCTTGCAGACATTTAGAAACAGAGAAATGTCTTTTCCAGGTTTGTTTTGTCTGGCTGACGCCCTCTAAGGCATCTCATTAACCTGAACATCATGACCATGGTGAGAAAGTTAGTCTGTGTGGGTGAATGGTATTTTTGAATCCCTGCAGCTGAATTTAGTCCACAGCCAGACGAGGTCAAGGCCATCGTGTGTTTAAGTAATTGTGCTGCTGTAGAAATAATTTGTGTTTCCGTAGGTCACAGCCGGTGACCTCCAAGTCTCACCTCTCGGTATTACTCTAGTGTATTCACTGGAGGACTATAACTGGTAAAAAGAAATACTCCATCAGTAATAGTTAGAATTTTCAGCTGCTGATGTGGAAACCAAAGCTTTAAATACCCGGTTTTGGTTGTTACTTTTTGGTCGCAAGATAACTCGTCATAAATAAAGAAGGTTTTATGAAATCTTAGTATATTTGTGACAGCCATCTGCTCTAGGTACAGTAGAAAGAGGAAATGCTCGAGGAAAATATCTTTGCCAGTATTTAGACAGTGGTCCACCTGCCAGCATCGCAATATCTCACATCGACGCTCGCTGTCAGAATCTGCATTCTCCTTCAAATGAAAAGCTTGGAGTCTCTGCAAGATCCAATCCAATGTTTCCAGCGCTGGATCGGGAAAGTTGAGAGCTGCCAAACAGAAATGTCCGCATTTACAACATGGCTGTTCCTCCCTTTTGCTTTTTTTTTATTCGTCTATGAAGTTGCAAATTCAAGTCTGTGCGGTGATTCTGTTTAGGAAAGCGATGCGAGGTTACCATGGGGAATGGTCTGGTGTGCCAGGGGTTGGAGAAGCGTAGAGGAAAATCCCAAATAAGAATCAGAATCGCTTAATTTGCCGAGGGCATTTAATGTAAAAAAAACTGTCTCTTTTTATATGATGAAAAACACACGGACAGCTCATGTGAAGAAGGGGAAAGACACAAGGGCATAGTGCCGACTAAACTGTATGTTCAAATATAAATGTTTATGTGTTGTTAATCAGCTGCAGACAGTATTAAGTATAAATAGTACTATACAATTTCATGGATAATATTGCTTCTTATAGAACGGAAGAGCAAACAATACAGTATTTATGAGCATGTAACTCTTTCCTTCTCCGAATCAACAACCTCAGGCCAACAAAACAATCTGGAAAGCAGATTTCTGTGTCAGTGCATCGTTTTGTGAAGTAGAGATAGGAAAAAAAAATCCTCAGCCATGTGTTGTTGTGTAACCCTCTTGTTGCACACGGAGGATGTCGTAGTTGTGACATGCAGTTCCTACGAAGTAAACATTTGATAGATGTGTGACTTTTCATTGTTTTCTGACGTATCACAATATTCAACCAATGCTTTTTTATTTTTTCCCCCTGCGCAGATCATCCATGAACCCCCGCCTCCTGCGGACGAGGAGAGTTCGGTAGGAGCGCCATCGTCATTGTTTCTTGTGATTCCAGAGAAAAGCTCATTATTAAAGAATTAGACAGCTGCCAGTGTTTAGGTTGTGTAAGTCCTCAGTTTATCCGGACATTCGAAACCTCTATGACCATGTGGCGTGATTCCCTTCTTGGTAATAAACTCATATTTTACTCATTTGGTCATTCATCCAATGTGAGTTAACGCCCTCTTAGAATAACAATGAAATCCTGACCATAAATGCTTTTTTCCTACTCATTAAGTTGCATGTTTTCAATGCATGTTTTCCAAATCTCTCTTCCGTTGGAGTTCTCTGGACTTTAAATTAAATTAAACTGACGAATAACATCAACACAATCATTCAAATACATTTTGACTGTAAACACTCACAATGCAATAAGAGTAGGCTGACATGCAACTGTGGGATGCATCAGGCGGCATTTATTTGCACGAAATATAATGAAAATAAGGTTTAACTGGTAAATCTATTCCAAAAAGCAGACTCGAATAACAACCGAGGCCTCACATCCTGCTAGATTATGAGTCAGACTGGGTTTAATAAAGTACTAAAACATAACAAGTTGGCTTTGTGATTTCCTCTGATCCGGAAACCAGCACAAAAAGAAGAGATTTGAGTTAAGAGGGGAGAAAG